AAACAAATTGTAGGTGGTCATGTGTTACGAGTAATACCGTGTTTATGAAAAATATTTACCAAACCTTTGAGTTTCGCATGAAAAATGCAAAATTTGTTTCGGAATGTCAACGTTGAAAACTTGATTACTTTTGAGAAATGCCTTATGAATTAGAAGATAATTTCTCATAAATGTATACAAAAGAGTTGTGTTGGTTGTTCTATTTGGAATTATAATTGTTGAGTAGTGACTTACCTTGGAGCGCTAGTCGGGTGTTTTGGTGATTTATCTTGGGAAGGGTTTGGTTTTGGTGGAATATTTGTATACCGGAGTGTTGTTCTTTTTCGGAACGTGTTTCCTTGGTAAACCCTTCCATTTGTGAGAGTAGATCGAAAATTTGTTATGAGGTTAGAATCTTTCCTGGTACTCGGGTGTTGGTGTTGTGTGATCAGTTGACCTTGTACTTTTGGTGTGTTCTTAATTTCGGGAACGAAATTCTTTAAGGGTGGGAGGTTATAGCCATCCCGGTTATCCCTTTACTGTTCTGTTGTATTCCAGACGCGGTTCCGTGGAGTTGGTAGTTGTACCTATCTTGTTGTCAACCTTTAAACCCTTTTTGTTTGAGTTTTAGAATGTGTTGGGCTTGGTTGTTACAGGTTGGTAGAGCTTTAGCTCCCATTGTTGTTGCCCAGTTTTTGAATGGTCCGCTCGAGCAGGTCTTACTGCGCTCGAGCGGGGTTTACACACTTCCAGTATTTCGTGTCCCTGCAAAACTTCTGCAGGTGTGTTTTCTATGCTCGAGCGGGTTTCTTGCCCTCAAGCGGGTCGCGCTCGAGCGGACTTATTGGCGCTCGAGCGGGTAGTTCTTTTTCTGAAAAGTTCTGTGAGGTGAAAATCCACACTCGAGCGAACTGGTTCTTCGCGCTCAAGCGGATGTGTTTTGCTTTTGTTTCTTGGTGCTCGAGCGGGCCTTCTTGAGCTTGAGCTTGAGCGTGACCAGATTTTTGTGCTTGACGCTCGAGCGTTCTATTCTACGCTCGAGCGGGTCATACGTATATGAGTCATCCGCTGGATAATTTTAAATCACTTTTTACATTTCCTTTCTCTCTCTTACTTTCCCAAAATCGATTTTGAAAGCCTCTCTCTCTAGGATCTCCCTTCTCTCTAGGGTTTGATCTAGTTAGAGTGTCTTCCTATCCTTCGGCCTTTGTAAAAAGTGTGTTGATCGTTGAGGGCTATATTTTGATCCAAGAATTTCGGGATTTGGAGCATCTTCGTTTCCTTCATCTTCTTCATTGGGTTTCATCTTTGAGGTAGGGATTCCTACTCATCTTTATGAGCTTTGACCTAGATTGTGAGTTTTTGTATAAATGGTTTTGGATTTTGGAAGTTAAGGTTTCAAATGTGTGATTTTGAAAAGAGAGGTTTGTTTCCTTTGAACCATAACCGTGTATTTGGGTTTCAAAATGAGTATGTTGATGTTTTTGGTAATATTTGAACCCTTGGGGATCAAGATTGAGAAAAGGGGGAGAAAGTCCTAAGTTGTGTATAAATTAATTGGTATAATCAATTTGGAAAGGTTATGGATTTGTGAAATTGAGTTAAATATAATGTTAGTGGTTCATTATGAGATGGAATAGTGGAGTCAGATTAATAAATCGTTCACTTTTGAAAACGCGGATAATTTATCTGTTGGTGCTTTTATTATCTATTTAGAAATAATTGCCTTGGGCTACCGGTGGAGGGTAGTTTTGATTGTTGTAGACAATGCATGATGATTAGGCAAACCAAAACTAATCAATTGGATGTGTCATCGAATATGACGGTTGAAAGAATACATTAATTTTATGTATTGATTGAAATTGTATATGATAATTGCTTTTATACATTGCTTTGTGTGGGAGGAGATGGGGAATGTATTCCACGGTTTATTGGAAGATGGGGGATGGACCTTTAAACCGGAAATTGCTTGACATTGATACAGCACTACAATGCGTATCATTTGTGAAGTCTAGAAATGTTTTGCTTGACATTGATATAGCACTAAAATGTGTATCATTTGTATTGATTGATTGAACTTGTATATGATAACTGCTTTTATACATTGCTTTGTGTGGGAGGAGATGGGGGATGTACTCCACGGTTTATTGGAAGATGGGGGATGGACCTCTAAACCGGAAATCGTTTGACATTAATACAATACTACAATGTGTATCAGGTGGGAAGTATAGAAGTGTTTCTACGTTTATTTGATATAGCACTAAAATGTATATCATGTAGAAAGTATGGAAGTGTTTTGTTTGATTTGATATAACACTAAAATGAATATCATTTGAGAAGCATGGGAATGGTTGTCTGACTGTGATACAACACCAATATGTGTATCTATTATGAAGTATGAAATGTTTAAAATGAGTTATTATCTCACCTGAAATAGAAATACCGTAGCTATGAGATGTGATCTCATTCAAAATGATTGGCCTTGTTCTGAATTGTAATTATAAATCAAGAATCTGATAGGAATTGGAAACTGGAATAGAACATGGATATATTAGACGTAGGATTAAATAGTGTTATAAGTTGTTGTGTACGAGTTAGACATTTATCAATCACTGACATTTTAGTTATCGTTCATACTATGATTAGCATATCTCTACTGGGCGTTGGCTCACCCTATATGAGACATCATTTTCAGGTTCAGGTGTTGAGCTGTGTTCGAGACCTTAGCTTGGAAGATTGAGGGAGTTGAAGATTCTTATTTGTTAATTTTGTCGTATTACATGTATGTCAAGCCAAGGGCTTAATTTTATTTTGAGTTAGTACTCTTCTTTTGTAACCCAAGTGTTGACTTGGAAAGTTGTAAGCCATAGGGCATTTACTTTTATTGTTAACATGTATTACATTTTGTAATAATACCCAGATGATTGTAATATAATATCTTTTTTCTGTACCTTGAATGTATGATATTATGGGTTAATTTTGAGGGCGTTACATATATGGTGGTTGAAATGTGTAAACATTTTTTCCGACGATGAGAGTGTCGTGGAATTTTATGTTAATGTTGTTTATATTTTTATCCAACTATGTCATCGAGATAGGGTCCCAATATTTGACATACCAAAGTTGAATATGAGGTTATGTTGAATTGAGTTGTGGGAATTGTTATGTTTAGATGTTGGTGTATCAGCCTATCATTGTATGAATTTATGAAATTAAACATTTTTTTTAATGGTGATTTTGTAAGCCAGGTTTGCGTGTGTAGCTTTTTGTTTTGATTACTTTCAAAGAGACCAAACATCTGTATTCTTACCATAAATCTATATGTGTAATGTTTCATTTATTTTTGTTGCAATTATGGAGTTTGTAGTGTTGTTGTTGTGTACTTTCGAACAGACAAATATGGTTCTTCTTCTTCATCAAACCATAACGTTTACACAGTTGGTTGATAGTGTGTGTGGTGAGTTTGATAGTTTGGTGCCAGGGTTGGTGTATTTCTTGTTCGCCATTCCTGGATACAATAAGTTTAAGATTGATTGTGATGATGATATTCAAAACATGGTGTCCTTTGCAAAGTCATCAAGTCGTTGCGCCAGTTACCCGAACAAATGGAAAACAAAAAATAATTGGTCCCAAATTTGAGGTGTTTGACAACCCATTTTGTGGGAATATATAAATACATACCAACATGTGACTTTTGGGATGTTCCAGCCACTATGATGTTTGTGTGTTTGACAACATGAAATTACACCATTTGTTTATTACAAGCCATGGATATGGTTACACCACATTGTTCGATTTGTCACATCTTTGTTTTACTATACATTTAAGGAAGGGTGGTGGAACCATGAGTTAGCGTTCCATCTGGAATGATCATTTGCAACGTAATTGCGACCCACAAACTCATATTGGTTGGAAGGCACGTACGATGTTGTCGATAATCCAGTTCTTGAGATTAAATGTGGGTTTTTGCCTAGTACCATGGGTCCAATTCGTGTGTGTTAACGCTTCATAGAACCACCAACAAAATGTCCATGCTGTGTGCATGTCAACTTCACTTGACATTTGCATATTCATATTACAACATCATCGTTTTGCATTATGCAAAAAGTAATACAAAACCGCACACCTATCATATTGAATTAAATGATATCAACGCATACATATAAGAATGACAATGTTCATTTTCCATATAATTATATAATCAATATCATTCGTTGTGCACACTAAGAGACCAAGGTCAGCCCTGGACATAGGCCCACCAGGCAATGGCTTAAGGCCCCTCAAAATACACTAAAAAAAGAGGCCTCCTCCTATTATAGTTTAGTGTAATATATTAGGTATGTTTTAAGTCCAAAAAAAATTAAAAAAGGCCCAAACTAACTTAACATAAATTGACCCATTGAAAAATTAAAAGGCCTATTCAAAATTAAAAAGGCTCACTCTCTCTTCTTATCTAATTCCTAGCCCTAACTCTTTTGACACAAATCTTTTGTCCTTTACCTGCAAAAAAAATTTTGGTTGAATAAAAAAAAATGTGAAGGGCCCCAAATAATTTAGTGATAATTATTAGTTCATTATTGGCTTTGGGCCCCGAAAATCTCAGGGCTAGGCCTGTAAGTGACATAAATGCATACACACACATAAACTAGCAATATTTTTCCAAACCGTGTCAAGAAAAGTATATCAACATTTGTCAAATTCAAAATCAACATTCAACTTACAAAACCAACAAAACTTTTAAAAAAACGCAATCCATTTCATACGGCATTATTTTACCATCATACCACGATACGTGTTTGATGTTCACCCATCAACCAACCAAAAATAAAATAAAATAGTTTGTGTAGTGAAACCATTTATCATTTGGGGCCAAAGTTATTACGACGTCCTTACACGCAATCCTCTTTTTGGGTCATTCAGTAACATTTCCACCATTACCGCGTGTAAAACAGTTGGCGTCAGTCCGTTCATCATGTTGTCAATTTCAACACCATGCACATATTGCCGGATAATGAAATAAAAGTCTGTTTCTTCTATCCTTCCCTCCGGGCAAGGTCGAGAGAGTCTGTGAAGCGGTACAAAAATCTTCTCGCTGATATCTTCCCTCAGTCTCAGGTGAGTATTTGGCTTCCCTTGTATCAGTTTTACTTGATTGTTATGTCTCTTTGAAGTAATCTCAATAATTTTTGTTGCTTCAGAGGTCAGTTGGCGTGACTTTTTGCAATTCTTGTGCTTCTGTATGTTGAGGATGACTACTTCAAAGTATTTTATCAAGTACATTGTTATTGAGTACTCAACAAAAAGAGAAAAAAAGGGAAAAAGTACTTAGTGTTTGACATTGATCTGGTTGATTTATATGCTCTGGGGATTCAAATGTGTTCTGAAAATGGTGGGAAAATTTAGAGAGATGTTGATTGGGATAATCTGCTTTTGAGGGTAAAAAATGAAAAGGGCAACATATCATTACACGAGGCCTTGATGAACGGTCACCAAGTTGTAGCTTATTATTTGATCACGGTAGATCCAGAAGTGTTATATTATCTGAACAATGAAGTGAAATCAGCTCTGTTTCTAGCTGCTGAAGTAGGGTTTTAGGAACTTGTCACGCATATTCTATGTGATACAGTTGGGATTGAAAATACAAATGAAAGACTTAAAGGGTAATCACCTATTCATGCTGCCATTTTAAAAAGAAACCGAGGTAATTCTGACACTTATTCTTGATTTCTCTTTGGTTTTTGCATTTTTGTTTCTCAATTTATTTTAAAATCCCAGGTGTTTTTGATGCCTTATTGAAATCAGAACCAAGGCTCATTCGATTAAGAGATGAAGAAGGAAGGACTCCACTTCACTTGATTGCATGATTGGGCTATCTTGAAGAGGTTCAATACTTGTTAGGAAGGCAGAGTTCAGGTGCTATTGCCAGGGACAACAATGGCTTACTTCCTATTCATTTAGCATCAATTAAAGGCCATGTTGATGTTGTCCGGGCGTTGCTTCAGTATTGGCCTGATTCGAGGGAACTGCTCAACTGTCATGGTCAAAATATTCTTCATGTTGCAGCCAAGAGCAGAGGACATAAAATGGTTAGTTACATTCTCCAAACTCCTGAGGTCGAGAAGTTTTATAAACATGAGGGATAAGCATGGAAACACAACCTTGCATTTGGCCACCTTGGATTGGCATCCAAAGATTGTTAGTACCCTAACATGGGATGAAAGAGTGGACTTATAGTGAATAATGTCTGCTCTTGATTCTGCTGAATACTACATGGAAAGAATGTCCTCATTTCGAAAGGTATGCACTCAGCTAATTAAATAACCCTACACTTCAGATACCTAATCAAACATAACAAAATGAGGGTATGTCTGCTCTTGATTCTTCATGTTATTTATCTATTTTTATTTGCATCAATTCCACGTACATTAATATGTCAAAAATAGGGTCCAAGCAAAGCTATATCTATTGTTTGGGTAAACTACTAATAGGTCCTAATAGTTGGACTTAATTTTTATCAAGTCCTATTAAAAATAAGTCTTGGTAAAATTGTTGTTAAAAATAATTTTTTTGTAATAATTTTTTATATACGTCGCTAAAAATTGACAACTAGTGATTTTTTTTTGTCATGATTTTTATAAATTGTCACTAAAACTTACAATTGGTGATTTTTTTTATAACAAATTTTTCCCATAGGACTCATTAGACAATAAGTTCACTTATTAGGACCTACACGTAAGTTTCCCTTGTTATATTCATGATTAATGTTTTGTAATGGTAACTATTGTGAATCTTGTGCCAGTTCATATATACAATCTCAAATGCTTCTTCACTTAGTGTGCTAAAGCTAAAGTTCTCCAAAGGTTGTCTGTGTGTGAACATTCCTTTTCATAGTACTACGAATTATTATTTAGCATTGACTGTAAGGAATTTTAATGGCCTGCTATTTCAATAGCCATTAGGTGGTCATATGTTTTATGCATTACATGCCCTATGTTAGCTTGTGAACACCTTATGAAGTAAAAAAGTTTTTAATAAATATGAAATATGAAAGCACAGAAAATTCCGGTGTATGTTCTTATTCTCAAGCTGTGGCTGGATGTCATCTTTAGATAACCTTGTTTTGAGAATTTTGTATTCATTGTGGTGTTGCGCCCGAGCATGTAACTGCCATTGATTGAGCGAACAAATTTGTGACAGGATTGTTACTATCTTTATCACAACATTGAACCTGACCAAGGCATGCCAACTGTGCTAAGACACAAGTGGTTTCACATATTCATTTTCTGTGACACCATACCTCCATTATTACTGTTGTTACCCTCATATGGGCACAATTAGGGGACCTGAATTTGGTGCTTACTGCCTACAAATTGGCGGCACTGCCACTACTGGGGATCACTCTCACCAAAGCTAGGAGGAAATGATATCAACAGATATATTTCCTCGTTTAATTTATTTGATTTGTCGGTTAATTGAGTTCCTTTTGTTTGCTTTTGGTCTTATATGTTGGTATCTAAGTAGCTTGCCACAAGTATGTAACTGTTCAAGGGCAAACTGTTCATTTAATGGTTCTCCTCCCCCCCCCACCAAACTGTTAATTTCTATTGATGAATGGCTGTGCAGATCACTCCGCCACCCATCTCAAAAACCGATTTTGATAAGGTCGTTGCCCGACAGAGGCCAACTGTGAGCAAAGGCGACCTTGACGTGCATGAGAGATTCACAAGAGAGTTTGGAGAGGAAGGCTGATGAAATATTGACTCAATGTTATCCATTTGTGGAATTGCTGTCATTTGTATTTTATAAATATATAAATATATGTCGCAGCTGGATTTGGGGATGTATTTATTAATCTATTTTAAAGCTTCTTCCATTTCTAAAGGTGATACAACAGCTTAGGCTTTTCTTCTGTATTGAGGTCTTATTACTTTTTAAATTTGTTAATTGATGTAAAAAACAGATTCTGTAGTATTGCTTCACTAAAAAGCCTAGCCTTGCTATTTGCCAACTTGTGAGCCTCTTTTACTGGCATAGTTATGCTTGTGAAAACTCTTAGGTAGTGTTTGGGATTTTCATTTTGATAATGCATTTTTTTTAATAAATTTTTTTTTTTTACTGAATCAAATGTTAGAGTAGACATCTTTGATAGAATGAACCAATCATTCCGGTGAAGAAGTAAATTGTAAAACGATCCAAATTAGATGGGGATAATTGACTATTTTTAAAATATAGGAGATAAAGTACTTTACAGTTAAACCACGAGGGTTTAATGAATTTTATCTTCTTCGTTTTTTCTTTTTTTCTTTTTGGCGCACGTAGTATTGTTGGAAAAGTTAAGGCCAAGAGAGTTAAATTAAATTTCTTGTCATCTAATTAAGCAGTTAAAAATAAGGTTGCTACTTAGGCAGCTCAAACCGAGCAACATATGTCCAACTTTGAATTTTTAAGGATTTGACAATATATTTTTAAAATATAGGTTTATGCAGCAATTTAAAGCCCGAATTAAATTCCAGGCTAGGCCTAGACAAAGATTCCTAGCAACCTAAAACTTGAATTACAAATTTAAATATAAATATATAAAAATATTAAATATACATATAAATTATTACAATTTCAATTTGATTTGCATTAGTTGAATTGTTTTGACTTTCTTTGTTTTTTTTCTTCTTCAAATTACTAGGAGATGGAATTGAGGATTGGAGACTGAAGAAGTGAATGAACTACTACAACATTTGTTTTAAGTTTATGTTTGTGTTAGTAAAATTTTTTGTTAAGTCTTGATCGATAGAGATTTAACATCAATTTTAATCAAACAACCAAACAAAAAATCAGACGAATATGTAAAGGTTCTAATGTCTTGAAAGTATAAGGATTTCTTTGGAATAATTAACAATCCAAAGAGTGAAATAAATACAGAATTTTTTTTTTATTGTAATCTTTTAAATTTGTAATGTTACAAATTGTTAAAAGTTACGGGTAAAAGTTAAAATATTCCTAAAAATAAAATAAAAAAATAAAAAAAAGAATGATAAGTTTGATGACTTCTGAATCTTGTTTCTTTGTTTCAACCTTACCTATTTATAGGCTTGAAACCGTGCTTCTCTTGTAACTGCTGAAAGCAGCCCACTTTCACATCAAGTTATATTCCACTACTTCACTTTGTAAGCAACATCTTCCATAATCACCCACGTTGCCGAGTTCTTTGCCCATCTTGGATTCTTTGCCCACGTCTGCTACACACTGCACAAAAACAGTAACAAGAACAATAACAACAACAATAATAATAATAAAATATGCTCATAATTATTTAAAAAGATAATTTTGGTCTGAATCCATAGACTAAAATTGACGGGTTACAATCAATAAGATTAGATTTGGCCATAATTGACAGGTCACAATCAATAAAATTAGATTTGGTCACAATCAACAGGCCACAATTGATAAAAAATAATTTATAGTACAAACAATTTGTAATGTGAACTTATTGCCTGTTAGTTAGGACTATTGGCCAGTCTAGCAGAGTGATATTTGCTTACAGCAATTCCAACTGTACTCTTCATTTTTTACTAGTTAAAATCAAAAAAATGTATGTTCTTTATTTTACTTAATTTCTTTTTTATTTATGTACTCTAACATTAGTATTTATTTTATCTATCTATACATACAAACTATTTAAAGAGCCTCCCAAGACTCTTCAAATGTAGCTAATTTTGAAAATTTTTGTTAAAATAACTATTGTAATAGTTAGTCTATTGGAGTGACTAAAATATAATGAAGATAGGTATAGTAGCTATCAAATCTCATTTAAAGAGTTCATTGGAGATATTCTTAGTACTATTAATGTGGCTAGGATGTTTTAATTTGTTTTGATGTGATTTCATAGTTGATACTTATGTTTCTTATTTTGTTACTTGTTAGGATGTTTTTATAAAAATTCAGCTTAAATTTGTGGGTAATTTGGGCCTATCCTAAGTTCAATTTATTGAGCTCGAACTAGACTTGGGCGGGGCTAGACAACATTCAACACTACTTGGGTAACCCTCAACTTATTGAATTTGTTTGAGGTGCACCCCAAGTTAAAAATTATGAGCTACCTTAATTTATACTAAAATCCTAATGTAATACAAATCAATCAGTTTTCATTCCAAATGTACCAAGATGTCATTTCCCAGTGTAATTTTTTTTTTGTGCCTATTTTGTGTTTGGATCATAAATTTGGATAGAGATTTGAAAAGAAAAACAAAAAAAAAAGAAATAGGTAAAAAGAAATAAAATGTGAATAAAATATAAGTTAAATTTTTTCTTTATTTTCCTTTCCCTTTTTATTTTTAAATCTTTATCTAAATTCATAATGTAAATAACTATTTTATAAGTAGACTCTTCACATTTATAATCTCATATGAAACTCTAATGAAATGAAAATTTTGATCATAAAATGAGTACACAAGATCAATATTTAACTAAAATAAAAATGGAAAAAATTTTAACATAATGATGGAAAAAGTTTGATTAAAGTTGACTTATTTAACATAAAGAGCCAAAGACTAGACCTTGTATTGGTTGGATGACTTTGAAATATTTCTCTCTCTTTATCCCACCAACCCAACGTTTGTTTGTCTTCTATTTCTTTAACAATTTCAGTCTCAAAATGTTCCATTCACTCTTGCTTTCTAATTCCAACTACAAATTTTTCTTCACTTACTTCCAAACTTGTTGACTTGCCTTGGGACCACTACTAGAATCAACGCTTAAAATATATTTGGGCAAAGTACTTGGACCACTAGTCTTTGTATTTTGAGTACTATATTATTTTGGACTATGTAAATTTCTAGACTGTGATTATCGATTTTTCAATAAAATGAATCGTCACTTTTAATTAATACCCTGCCAAATTTATTTTTCAAAATTTTGGGACAATAAAAAAATAATGAATTTTAAACTTATGCTATAAAAAAGTAAAACAATTTTAAAATTGCCAACTTTTAATTTATTCAAACAAATTATATTAGTAATTCTTACTTTTATATCATTTTTGATTTTATAATTTCAATGGATTTGATTTTGATATGAATTTATAATTGTCTCAATTTAGTCCAATTAATTATAACTTTTAGTTTTTTTGGATAAAAAATGGACACATAAATGACACGAGTGATGCATTTATAGATAAAAAATTATAAACTTGTTCAATTCAATGAGTCAATCTCAACCAATTCAGTAATATTTTCTTTCAAGAACCCTAATCAATATTATTATTTGAACTAAATTAAAAAAAATTTAAAATTAAAATTCAAAATTGAACTTATCAAAATTATTCAAACTAAAAATGGCATAAAGAACAAAATGTAAAGATTATCGATATAATTTCTCATGTGGTTTATGGAAAACCGTTACTAATAGTTTTGGGACCACTGAAATTAAAGACAAAGACTAGCTGTTGCGAACTTAAATGTAACGCCCTCAAAATAATACATAAAACCCATCACTAGAGACATGCATTGATATAAAACAAACCAACCATTTCTATTCATTAGAGTAATTCTTACAACAGTATTAATGGTGGATTTTTCATTTTTGTCAAAGGTTGTATCTTCTTATTTTCTTTATAGGGCTCCCTTCATTTTTATAAGAGGTTGTATATTTTTCTCTTCTTATTTGATGAAAAAAGTAGGACTCTCTTCATTTGATATCATCGTTTATACTTGTGTTAAGATTTAATTATCCTTATTGATTAATAAAAAAATAACGATAATTAAATCCTAACGCAAATTAATTTTCATGAAACTAATATCTAATATATTAAATTATTCATAAACAAATACTCAATTTCAATAACCTATGTTAATTTATATTTTTTGGAAAGTTTTATTCTTTATAATATATAGTATTAATTACGTTAAGATCCCTCAATTATTAGCTATTATTTTTTTATTCTTCTTATTTATAAACTCATATATTTTGATATTTCAACTATAAAATTTTTACAAATGTCTCTTCAACCAGAAAGAGCCATGTGTACGATATTATAGATTAGAGGTAAAATAATATTTGCTAATAATTAAGGGATCCTTAATATAATTAACATTAAAATTACAATTTGTTGGGATTTTTAAGACAATTCAGTTGTAAAATAATTACAAATAAATGATAAATTTTTTAGATGTTAATAATTTAAAATATAAACATTTTCATAATTTTGTAATAAATTTATGGAATTACCACTGAATGGTAATTCCCCCTTTTAAAATTATGAATTATCTTCTTCTTTTCTTAATTTTTTTTTTTGTTAACAAGGTATTTGGATGCATTATGAGAAAGGAATCTCAATCTTTTGTCTCAAAGGAAAATGTTAGAAACCTCAAAAAATTTATCAAAATTTCTAACAATATCTTACTAACATTACCCGTCTCCTAAAGGGTCATATTTTAAATGGTGGATTTTTCATTTTTGTCAAAGGTTGTATCTTCTTATTTTCTTTATAGGGCTCCCTTCATTTTTATAAGAGGTTGTATATTTTTCTCTTCTTATTTGATGAAAAAAGTAGGACTCTCTTCATTTGATATCATCGTTTATACTTGTGTTAAGATTTAATTATCCTTATTGATTAATAAAAAAATAACGATAATTAAATCCTAACGCAAATTAATTTTCATGAAACTAATATCTAATATATTAAATTATTCATAAACAAATACTCAATTTCAATAACCTATGTTAATTTATATTTTTTGGAAAGTTTTATTCTTTATAATATATAGTATTAATTACGTTAAGATCCCTCAATTATTAGCTATTATTTTTTTATTCTTCTTATTTATAAACTCATATATTTTGATATTTCAACTATAAAATTTTTACAAATGTCTCTTCAACCAGAAAGAGCCATGTGTACGATATTATAGATTAGAGGTAAAATAATATTTGCTAATAATTAAGGGATCCTTAATATAATTAACATTAAAATTACAATTTGTTGGGATTTTTAAGACAATTCAGTTGTAAAATAATTACAAATAAATGATAAATTTTTTAGATGTTAATAATTTAAAATATAAACATTTTCATAATTTTGTAATAAATTTATGGAATTACCACTGAATGGTAATTCCCCCTTTTAAAATTATGAATTATCTTCTTCTTTTCTTAATTTTTTTTTTTGTTAACAAGGTATTTGGATGCATTATGAGAAAGGAATCTCAATCTTTTGTCTCAAAGGAAAATGTTAGAAACCTCAAAAAATTTATCAAAATTTCTAACAATATCTTACTAACATTACCCGTCTCCTAAAGGGTCATATTTTAAATGGTGGATTTTTCATTTTTGTCAAAGGTTGTATCTTCTTATTTTCTTTATAGGGCTCCCTTCATTTTTATAAGAGGTTGTATATTTTTCTCTTCTTATTTGATGAAAAAAGTAGGACTCTCTTCATTTGATATCATCGTTTATACTTGTGTTAAGATTTAATTATCCTTATTGATTAATAAAAAAATAACGATAATTAAATCCTAACGCAAATTAATTTTCATGAAACTAATATCTAATATATTAAATTATTCATAAACAAATACTCAATTTCAATAACCTATGTTAATTTATATTTTTTGGAAAGTTTTATTCTTTATAATATATAGTATTAATTACGTTAAGATCCCTCAATTATTAGCTATTATTTTTTTATTCTTCTTATTTATAAACTCATATATTTTGATATTTCAACTATAAAATTTTTACAAATGTCTCTTCAACCAGAAAGAGCCATGTGTACGATATTATAGATTAGAGGTAAAATAATATTTGCTAATAATTAAGGGATCCTTAATATAATTAACATTAAAATTACAATTCGTTGGGATTTTTAAGACAATTCAGTTGTAAAATAATTACAAATAAATGATAAATTTTTTAGATGTTAATAATTTAAAATATAAACATTTTCATAATTTTGTAATAAATTTATGGAATTACCACTGAATGGTAATTCCCCCTTTTAAAATTATGAATTATCTTCTTCTTTTCTTAATTTTTTTTTTTGTTAACAAGGTATTTGGATGCATTATGAGAAAGGAATCTCAATCTTTTGTCTCAAAGGAAAATGTTAGAAACCTCAAAAAATTTATCAAAATTTCTAACAATATCTTACTAACATTACTCGTCTCCTAAAGGGTCATATTTTAAATGGTGGATTTTTCATTTTTGTCAAAGGTTGTATCTTCTTATTTTCTTTATAGGGCTCCCTTCATTTTTATAAGAGGTTGTATATTTTTCTCTTCTTATTTGATGAAAAAAGTAGGACTCTCTTCATTTGATATCATCGTTTATACTTGTGTTAAGATTTAATTATCCTTATTGATTAATAAAAAAATAACGATAATTAAATCCTAACGCAAATTAATTTTCATGAAACTAATATCTAATATATTAAATTATTCATAAACAAATACTCAATTTCAATAACCTATGTTAATTTATATTTTTTGAAAATTTTTATTCTTTATAATATATGGGATTAATTACGTTAAGATCCCGCAATCATTAGTGATTATTATTTTATTCTACTTATTTATAAATTCATATATTTTGATTTTTCAACTATAAAATTTTCACAAATGTCTCTTCAACCAGAAAGAGACATGTGTATGAGATTATAGATTCGAGGTAAAATAAAATTTGCTAATAATTAAGGGATCGTTGATATAATTAACCTTAAAATTACAATTCAATTAGAATTTTTAAGACAATTCAGTTGAAAAATAATTACAAATAAGTAGTAAATTTTATAATAATTAAAAATATAATTTTTTCATGATTTAGTAATAAATTTATGGAATTACTACTCAATGGTAATTCTCCCTTTAAAAATTATGAATTATCTTCTTCTTTTCTTATTTTTTAATTTTTTTTTATATTTTTTGTATATTTTATATTTTAATTTTTTGTTAACAAGGTATTTGGATGCATTATGAGAAAGGAATCTCAATCTTTTGTCTCAAAAGAAAATACTAGAGATCCCAAAAGATTTATCAATTAAATCAAATTAAAAAAAAAATTAAAAGTTAAGAATTCAAAATAAAATTAATTAAAATTACTTAAACTAAAATGAACACAATGGACAAAATGTAAAGAATATCAACATAATTTTCCCTTGGAATTAAAGACAAAGAATCACTGTTGCGAATTTGGAAGTCATGTGGCTGGTGGATAGAATTACACAGTTGCCGTGCTTGACGGGCTGGGCTGGGTTGCTCCACCACCACTACCGTAGAAAGACTTAGCAGTGTGTATAAGAATGAGTAATACATTTATTCCTTCTCCATCATCAAACTACTATCCTTCCTATACTCTCCTTTTCATATCTCTCCGAATCCTTCTACCTGTAAGAGAACAAAATGAGTTGGCTTATGTTTGTTCTTCATCAATTTCTTCTGTTATTTCTCTTGTCTTCTTCTTCTTTTTCTACTTCTGCACGCCATACCTGCCTTGAGGACCAGAGATTTTCACTTCTCCAATTTAAAACAACATTTACCATAACTGCTAATGCCTCTGTTTTTTGCAAATCTGATTCTCATCCTAAAATGGTGTTCTGGAATCAGAGTAGTGATTGCTGCTCGTGGGAGGGGGTCACGTGCGACTGGTCCAATGGTCATGTGATTGGACTTGACCTCAGTTGCAGCCAACTTCAGGGCACCATCCAACCCAACACCACCCTCTTCCACCTTCGTCACCTCCAAACCCTCAATCTTGCCTTCAATGACTTCAATTTCTCTACAATTTCACCTGATTTTGGCTCCTTTCCAAGTTTGACCCATCTCAACCTCTCTTTCTCTAATTTTACAGGCCGAATTCCCTCAAAAATCTGCCATCTGTCCAAATTGGTTTCCCTTGACCTCTCTGACTTTGATTATTATAATCCTTATTCTTTTTCTCCGGTGAGACTTGAACAACACACTTTCAATATGCTCCTTCGAAACCTAACCCAATTAAGAGAACTACACCTTGATTCGTTGAATATCTCTTCACCTTTACCTCATGCTTTGCTAAATCTATCTTCTTTGACATCTCTCAGTCTTGGTTATTGTCATCTGCGTGGGAAATTCTCAGAAAACATTTTTCACTTACCAAACCTACGAGAGCTCCATGTAAGGGGAAATCAAGACCTCACAGGTAAACTTCCATACTTCAATGCAACTAGTTCCCTTCAGTTTCTTGATCTTGGCGACATAAGTTTTTCTGGCCAATTGCCTGAATCAATCAGCAATCTTAAAGCCTTGAATATTTTGTACCTCTTCAACTGCAACCTTTCGGGGTCCATTCCAGCTTCTGTTTGGAACCTTACAAAAATCACCAATTTAGCCTTCTCATCTAATAGTTTCAGCGGTCAAATCCCCTCATCAAATTCAAACCTTGCAAAGCTTAATAGCTTGTATCTTTCCAGAAACAATTTGAACGGACAAATACCGGATTCCCTTGGCAACATGAGCCAACTTACTCTCTTGGCTCTTTCCGGAAACAATTTGAACGGTCAAATACCGGATTCCCTTGGCAACATGAGCCAACTTACTAACTTGGATCTTTTCGAAAACAATTTGAACGGTCAAATACCAAATTCCCTTGGCAACATGAGCCAACTTACTAACTTGGATCTTTCCGGAAACAATTTGAACGGTCAAATACCGGATTCCCTTGGCAACATGAGCCAACTTACTAACTTGGCTCTTTCCAGAAACAATTTGAACGGTCAAATACCGGATTCCCTTGGTTCCAAAATGGTTATTCAATGTGGGGAAAGATTCATTGCAAAATTTAAATCTTTCTCATAATTTCATTACAAGTTTAGAGCGCCTTCCATGGAAGAATCTACAGCTTATTGACCTGCACTCCAACTCACTCCGAGGACCACTCCCTGTTCCACCTAACACCACATATGTTTTCTCTATCTCAAACAATAAATTGACCGGAGAAATCCCTACATTGATTTGCAATCTGAGTTCACTTGGAGTTCTTGATCTGTCTAATAACAGTTTGAGTGGGTTGATTCCACAATGTTTGGGAAACTTGAGCAACAGTCTCTCAGTGCTGAATTTAGGGACTAATAGCTTTTCTGGCACCTTTACTGCAACATTTACCAAAGGCAATTTCCTAAGGAGTCTTAACCTGAATGGCAACCAAATTGAAGGACAAGTTCCACGATCTTTGCTCAATTGTGAATACTTGGAAGTTCTAGATCTTGGAAAAAACAAGATAAACGATACATTCCCTTACTGGTTGGAAACTCTTATAGAATTGCAGGTTCTTGTCTTGAGGTTTAATAGGTTTCATGGTCACATAGGCACCTCCAAGACCAAAGACAAACATCCTTTTCCTAAGTTGAGAATTATTGACATATCTTGCAATGAGTTCACTGGCCTTTTGCCAACAAATTATATCAAACAATTTCGAGCTATGATCAACGTTGATGAACATGAAATGAAATTGAAATACATGGGTGACAGCTATTATCAAGATTCTGTGGTGGTGATGATTAAAGGATATGAGATTGAATTATCAAGAATCTTAACAGTCTTATCAATCATTGATTTTTCAAGAAATAAATTTCAAGGAGAGATTCCGAAATCCATTGGGAGGCTTAATTCACTTCGGGGTTTTAACATATCTCATAACAATCTTACAGGCCATATCCCAACTTCACTTGGAAATTTGAAAAACCTCGAATCGTTGGACCTTTCCTCAAACAAGCTTGTTGGGGAGATTCCTCAACAATTGACAAATTTGATATTTCTTGAGGTACTAAACCTTTCGGACAACCAACTAGCAGGACCAATTCCTCAAGGGAGCCAATTTAATACATTTGGAAGTGATTCATATGGTGGGAACTTGGCCTTATGTGGATTGCCTTTATCAAAGAAATGTAAGGAACTACTGCCACTGCCACCTCCGCCAACACTCCAACAAGATGAGAATTCAGACAAGTCAAGCGGATTTAACTGGCAAGTTGTAGTGTTGGGGTATGGATGTGGATTTTTATTTGGAATGATTATGGGATATCTTATGTTTGTAACTCGAAGACCCGAATGGCTTATGAAAATTGTTGAAGGAAAACATCATAAGAAGGTGAAAAGGTCTAAGAAGGGTGCCCACTGATGCAGTGAAAGAAGAAATCAATAAAGACAAATGGCATTATTCGGTAATTGGAATTTATCTTTGCAGCATTACTTTGTTGAATTATCTTTTATGGTTTCTACTTATATGCTATATTTGAGTTATTGATGTTCTTATTTCAAAACTAGGTTTGTTCCATTAAGTAGCACAATAAAGCAATGGTATCCACTTGAAGGGGTGTTTCACCTAGCTACTGCATTTGAGTGGGTGAGCATCTGGATAACAGCCATACACGGACCACTTCAAAAGCTTTACCCTTGTTGCGGTATTGAATTCTAAAGTTTTGATAAGTCGTTTAGTTTTCTTGAAGCACTGAGTTAAATAAGAGTTTCATGTCATGGTTTTTTGTTGTTTTCTATCTCACGTCATGTAGCAACCTTTAGAGATTTGTATTTTTGTATGTAATTTTTTTTAAAATTGGATTTCTGTCACAAAAGACTAGGCCATGCCTAGGTTTTAACTTTGAAATGCAATCTTACAATGATAGAATTGTTGTCTACTAGATAGAGAATTCATATTGAAAATAATATTATATGTTACTCTTTGAGCAGTTTTTTACCCGTTGCTATTGTAGTCCAGGTGAGCTTCCAACATCATCTCTTCCACACCTTTTTATCAATAAACAAAATTGTTGATAATTTGATTTTGTTTTTCTTCTTCAATTGCGATTGGGGGATAAATTGGAGATATTAACTAGCACTTGTTTCCATATCGATGTGGGAATGTTGTGATTAATTATAGTAAGAAAATGCTGATTTGAAGAGCACTGATTGAAAAGGTCACAGGCAAGAAAACTATTGGGGTTGTGAACCTTGATTAGTACTGTACATTTCTGTTTGCACTCATTTTTGTAAAATTTCCAACCAACAGGTGAATCAATTGAATGATGACACATGGCAATAAAGTTAAAGTAAAAGTCTTTCATTTGATCAAATGAAAGAATTGTTTAAGTCCATGAATTGTTGAAAATAGTCATAAAGTAGTTATCAAACATTTGTTGGCTTAGTGGGCTGATTTGTGTGAAGTCAAGATTGTGAATTGGAGCTCTATTTTATGTCGATATAGTGCTCTGAATTTTGGGGGATATGCGAGAGATTTGAAGAATTGATAAAGTTCGAAGGCTTGGAAATGAGATAATAGTTACAGCAGCGGTTGGGGGGGATAAAATGAATTTCAGAATTTTAAGTTGTTTAGTTTTCTTAAAGCACTGAGTTAAATACGAGTTTCATGTCATGACTCTTGTTATTTTTCTCGCATCGTTTAACAACCTTTTAGAGGTTTTCACTTTTGTATGTAGTTGCTTTTAAATTGGATTTCAGTCATAGAAGATTGGGCGTTGCCAAGTGTTTAACTTTGAAATGCAATCTTACAAGTTACAACTCAAACCATTCCCCTTGTTACATTCTTAATCATTTTGAGTAATAGAAATGCTGGCTACTAGATAGAGAATTCACATTGAAAATAATGTTATATGTTAATCTTTGAGCATTGCTTTTACTCGTTGCTATTGTAGTCTATTCTATTTTTTTGGCATCTTCAATGGCGATTGGGGGATCAAACTAGAGATATTTACTAGCACTTGTTCTATAGACTTGGGAATTTTGTGATTAATTATAGTATGAAAATGGTGATATGGAGAGTATTGATTGAAAAGGTCACTTATATTTATTTTTTTGTGAAATTTTACTGGTGCAAGTGTTTCCATGAATAGGAACATATTAGATATTTTAAAAATTCAAGTTGTTGAGTTGATGCCACATTGTTTGATAAGCAAAAATATTGGCTTAGCAAATTCATGTTTGAGTTTGGTATGTGTATCATTAAAAATATTAGTTACTCCATGAAGGAGATAAAAGGATTTGTGTAGTTTTATTGGCTGGCCACAAGCTCACACATCCAATGAAGATATTAATCTCCACATTTAAGAGTATTTTTGGTATCCTGCAACCCAAAACCCTGGTGGCAATAATTAGGGAGCTTGGGTAGTAGGCTGTGTGGTTTAGGGACCAGTGAAGAAGTAAATGTCACACATGAGACCATAGGATTTACATGCCTAAGGTTATATAGTTATGTTTTATGATTTGGCTTTGAAAAGGTGAAAGAAAGGTTCTAGACTTTGAAGCGTTTGAAAGAGCTAGAACAGACTTGGATTTAAAGGGGTGATAGGCTGTTAAAATTTTATAATTGTGGCAAGAATTTTTTAAACAAAATTTTGGGATCCCAGTTTGTGTTCTGGTGGATGATGACTGGAATGACATGAGTTAATGCCTTTTGTCACTTGTGGGGGTCCGATTATGGTTAGCATTTGGATTTTGTCATGTTTTTCATGTGGCTTTGTTCTAGGAATCTTCATTAAATACTTTATGACAAAAAATAATTTTTTGAAGTTGAAGTGGTGGAAATGAGCATAGGTTTGGTTGTCTCCACTATGTTTTTTAAATACTAAATAATTACTTAGTGTTACTTTAATGCTATCAATATTTAAATGTTGGTCTAGCTTGTTTGAAAGGTGGTTGATAAAATAATTGTCATCCTTGAAAGGTGGATGATAAAAAAAAAATTCAGCTCAAATTTGTTGTTAATTGGAGCATAGCCCAAGTTCAATTTATTGAGCTCAAGGCTGCTTTGGACACACAAAATTAGGTTAGAGGTCAGGCTTGGGGGTCTCAGGCAACTCTCAAAACAACTTGGATAACTCTTCAATCTTGCTGCACCCGCTCACGTTGCACCTTTAGTTACAAATTGCAAGCTACCTTGATTTAAACCAAATCCTAACTGAATTGCTAAAAGTTCATTCGAAAAAATTGGCCATACAAATCAATCAATTTTCATTGCAAATGTAACAAGATTTTATTTCCTAGTGTTGAATTTTTTTGTTTCCTAAATATGTGTTTGGATCATGGATTTGGGTCAGGATTTGAAAATAAAAAAGAGAAAAGCGAGTGAAATGCAAATAAAATATAAGTTGCATTTTTTTCTTCATTTCTTTTTCCAAGACTGCAAATGTGCTATGACTATGTAATAACATGTTAATGCCTTGTCACATGACTGCGTTTTGTCTTTGTTGTTTCAGTAAATATATGCTTTGACAGTCATGAAGTCTCTGCTAGAGTAGTAAATTACAAGCTTTTGAATGGAAATTGTCATCTAATGTAAATGGAAATGAGTTGTCAATTGAAGAGAGTTTCAAGCTTCACTAATTTATTAGTGTTCTGAAGAAACATCAGTTGTGTTATAGAAAAAAAGAGGATTCTTGACATTTTTTTCTCTCCAGCTGAGAAACCATTCCATCTTTAGTTCCTTTCTCAAAAAAGGATTCAATTTGTACACGCAAGAAATAGGCTGATTCAGCCCATTTTGTTCAATTTCTCATGGAGTAAAATTCTTATTAGTAGGAATCAAGGGAATGGCCTCTTGCCTTTAAATTTCCATTTAAAGGTGGATGTCGATGTCAATCCTCGAGTGCAAGTAACTTGGCGTTTCCTCGGAAATGTCATTGAGAGTTAAAAAAATTATAAATGAATGGTGATACCACGTGTTGATGATAACGTGGTATAATTGTTACATTGATTCCCCCCCCCTCTTGTTTGTGATTGTCATAATTGGAAAATGTGTGACAAGAAAGAAGATATAGCACATTAACAACTACATCCAATATGTAGAGATAAGGTTGTTTTATGATTGTACATTCAAATTAAGATTGTGGAGGAATTCTTTGATTGTTCAGCTTGCAAATTAGCTTTTCTCTGAATGGGAGGACATGGTTGATAATAGGAGGAGAAAGTATGCTGAATAATTTAATTTTCTGAATTGCTAAAGTTCTTGCAATTGAGTTTGCTCACTGGGCTGCATTCCAAGCTGTGTTATTTTTTCTTTCTCTGCTCTGTTCTGTTTCCTTCTTTCTGTGTTTGGATGACCAGAAAAGAAAATTTGGTACGACATTGTGTCGATGTACATGCCTCAAGCTAAAATTTGATCCTACAATTACTGAAATGATAAAGGAAATATGCCAGAAATGCAGGAGAAACAAAGCAAACCGTAACTTTTAGATGATGGAAAGTAGCCAGTTCTTTCACAATTTAGTATCTTTGCTTTAGTATCTATCTTCTTATTTCACATTTCTCGTCCATTTTCTTTTTCCTTCACAAATCATTCTCCAAGTCCATGACCCAAACACAAACACAGTCTTACGAACTTCAATTATAAACCTACTAGAGTCAAATGACTCAGCTAAGGAAATATTTTATGAGCATTATAAAATATAGTTACTAGTTGATTGTAAACAAAATATAGTAGAAATTGAATTATTGTGAGAATCCAGTGGCAAATGTTTTTGTTTCCTTGCACAACAGGTTGTGTGTTTTAAGTCTTGAACATAAGATTTTTTCTTTTTTATTTTATTTTTGTAATCACTTTCACACTCTGCACAGTTTTCACATGGCCACTCAAATTTGACTTGAATTTATTTAATAATGTGATTCTATGAATGTATGGCTCAATGGGACAAATTAGTGACTATGGCCCATACCATTTACAACTTTTCATATTTGGCAAAGTAGTAAAAGCCACGTCAAGTGTGTTGACTGTGTTTCTTATAGTGATTTACATGGGATAAATTGTGGGCAATCTTTCTTGGTGTACACTCGGACTTAATGGTTGGTGGGTGATTGCTTTTGAATTTACTTTGTAGAAATGGATTCAATGTATTCTTCTCTAGTTGAGCAGAAAATATATTTTGTAAAATAATTTTCATATATTTTTGAAACAAAAATCAATGAAAAACAAATTTATTGAAAATATAAAAAAACCTTTTTTTATTAAAAATATTTTTTGTCAAATCAAACATAGGGTTACTTGTGAAATATTCGTTGGCTAACAATTATGTGGGTTTATGATAATACACTGTTTTCTTATGCCATATGTGTCTGATTTCGATCTTTCAGTCGGCATAGGCAAAAATCATCAACCTAAGGTTGTCATGGTGTTCTAAAATATGGCCCCTGCTACATAGAAAATTTTCCTTTGGAAATTCAAAGTTTAGCCCCCAAGCAGAGATTAAAGAAAGCAAAGAAATTTGGGGGTCCCTATTACAACTTTTTGAGTTAATCATACAAGTCATAAATGGCAACTACAATGACTTCGTGAAAAACAAAAACTATACTATAAAGGACATGTCTTCTAACAAGCTCATAACACCCTCTTCAACCTCAGTTTCCTTCAATATGAAGCTTCAATTCCCACCTATTCCTCTCCTCTTAGCCCCCTCCTATTCATCTTCGTTCTAGTCATGAACATGAAGAGATTCAAACCCAAAAACTCTATTCCAAAACTACCCCAGGTCCAAGAAAACTACCTCTCATAGGAAACATTCACCAACTTCTTGGCTCATCACTAGCCCATCACATACTGAAAAAATTGGTCACAAAATTTGGACCCTTGATGCATCTCCAACTTGGCGAAATGTCCACCATTGTCATCTCCTCGCC